CGCCCCGCTGCCCTGTGACTCATTGTCACCGCTTCCCATCACACAGTCTTCGGTTGAAATAGATGCCCCCACCCCCACCCCCGCCGCTGCCCGCAGCCTGCGCCTTCGCCTACCCTGCCAGCCGGGCATAAAACCTAAGCCAGGCCACTTGCTCAGGGATCCCGGGGGCTGTGGGTTGGCTACGAAGGGAACACACCTCTGTCCCATTTTCCCGTTTTGCCTGAGGACTTATGTGTGGGCTTTAGAGGTTCAAGGGCAACGTGGGCAGCCTCACCCCTGTGGCAGGACTAGATACCTAAGTTCCCTCAAGGAGAGGCTTCTCGACGCCCCCACATCTGGACCCAGGAAGTGGCCGCTGAGCCGCCGGCCGGTATTGCCCAGCTCGGGCCAGCTGCCAGGAGCTCAGCCAGTGGGGCGCGGTGTCTGGCGAAGCGTGCTGGGGAGGAGGCAGCAGGGCTGGGCAGGCAGGGCTCTGGGATCTGAGGGTGCCCTGAGCCCAACTCTGATGGGTGGAGGAGGGGGTGGGCTGGAGTCTCCACGTGTTGAATCTCCACCTGAGCAGGCAACAGGTAATGGAGGTGGGGGTGGGGGAGGAACGAGGGCTGACTGGGCAAGACCGGCACCTGAGGGAGAGGGGGACTCCCCCCTCCCCTCCCTCCCTCCCGCCACACACACACACACACACACACACACACACGCACGCACGCACGCATTCTGTGCCCAGGCAAGGCACATTATTTTCTGCTGGCATGTGCCAACAAAGCCTGTTCCCACGGAAGACGCTGGATCCCGGTCTCTGAGAAAAAACAGAGCAATATGAAGGAAGCAGGTGGAGGCCACTTCAGCCCAAGTCTCCAACGGAGGTTCCATTCCTTTCAGCTGTCCCGGGAGGGCCAGGAAAGCCCCTCCCCCGCCCCCTTTTTGCCTTTTGTTGCTGAGACCACTTTTCCCTGGGGTTTTTCTTTGTACCTTCAGAGCAGTCAGGGTGAGTGCCAAGACCACTTCAACCTTTTCAGAGGAAAAGGGCCTTCCCCACAGAGTAGCTTTGTGCTGAAAGACAGCCAGTCTCTCCTCCTTATTATTCTAAGTCGTTCTACAAAGAGGAACCTGTCCCCCACCCCAGATTCAAAGTCTGGCCAGTTAGTAATGAATCTGACCAGCTAGCTGTGTGATTTCAGCACATGCCTTCCCCTCTCTGGGCTTGATTTTCCTCATTGGAAGAATGGGTTGGTTGAGGCATCTGATTTCTAAAGTCCTGTCCATCCCTGGCATCTAGTGATTCAGAGTGTTGGTGAGCGCCAACCTCACTTTATTCTCAAAAACCTTGCCCGGGCTCATTCATATTTGGCAATCTGTAATGAGAGGATGGAGCCTTGCAAATACATTTCCATTTTCTTCAGAGAAACATCATATATGCTGGGGTTTGTAGACAGAGATGTTGCTAATGTCACCAGAAGACTAATTTAAACTTGCCAGGGGTCATCACATCTGGCCACCTTCCTCTCCCCCTCCCTGGCCTATTTCCTTGTGGGTGGTACCTCACTCAGAGGCCAGGCTGCCAGTTGCTAGCCACACATAGCCATGAAGCTGGGTGCCAGGGTTTTCTCTATGTCAAAGTCACACTGATGAACCACTGACACCACAGGCCCTCTAAAGGAATTGTTTGACAGAGAGGCAAAAATACTTCTTTACAGCTGAGGAAGCTTAAACCCAGAGTGGCTGGGGGTATGGTTGGCAGGGCAATATTAAGGCTGGAAATTGAGCCTAACCCTTTGGATTCCTAGTAGAAAAGTCCTAGATAACTTGCCGTTTGCTCAAGCTCCATCCTCATACAGGACTTATCACATATTTGTGCTGGGGGCCATTAATGAGGGCTTTTTTTTTCTCATTTTGGCAGCTCCAAATGACCACTTGCTTTATAGCAACCGGTCTCAAATTTATTTCACCTTGGAGTCTCATGAGGATGCATTGCATGATGCAGAAATAGCATGTAAGCTCCGCCCAATGGGTTTTAAGGTGAGTGTGGGATGGGAGGGATGGGAAGGGGTTTACTATAGACAGGAATTGGCAGAAGGGGTTCCACCCTGGAGGATAGTAGCACTAGAGCTCAAGCAGAGCTGGGAGAAAGCTTTGCAAAGGAGCTGGGAGACCCTTGACAAAAGGTGACTCAGGGGTTTGCAAAGGAACTGGAGTCTTCCCCAATTTGATCTTTAACTGACGACCTACAGAGCAGTCTGGGCTTTGTGACTCCACGACATGGACTTGGGAGCCTGACTGCCTAAGTTTATGACCCAGTTCTGCTATTTTTACAAGCTGTGTGACCTTGGGCAAATTACTTAACCTCCCTGTGCCTCATCTCTTCATTTATAGAATGGAGATATTCAAAGCACCTACTTAACAGAATTTGTTGTGGGGATTACATGAGCTAATACATGTAACATGCTTGGAACAATGCCTGGCACATAGCGTTGTATAAGTGTTTGCTGTCATCATCATCACCATTATTTTCTAGGGACAGTAGAAAGATGAGAGTAAGGGAAGTATTGCTGGCTGGTTGTGCCATTTTGAGTCCTTAATATAGTCAGTCAGCTTGCCAGTATCCACAAACATCTAGGTCACATGGAGAGATGGGGGGAAAGACAGGCTAGGCATCTCTCAGGATGCCAGGAGGCAAAGTGTCACCTCTTGCGTCTCAGTCTGGCCTCAGGACTGGCCCTTGACCACATGACAATATTTGGTTTAGCAGATTAGATATTATCCTGGGCTCTGCTACTTTCAGCTAAGTAGCCATGGAAAAGTTGCTTCACTCTATGGACTCCAAGTGTCCTTGTTTGCAAAACAGAGCTATTGCTTTCTGCCCTGATCACCTCATAGGGATTCAGTAAGGGTCACAGTCGAGCATGGCCAAGGGGCCATTCTGTAAGCTATATAACACTTGCTGGGTCTAGGTGTAGTGCTCTCTCTACACAACCCCAGGATGCTTTCCTCGGAAACCCAACTTAAGTCCAGGTCCATGATCCCTTATCTGAATCCCATAGGTCCCGGTGTGTTCAGAATCCAGAATGTTTCCGATTTCAGAAAGACCTAATATGAAGTAACACCCTCAGTGAGCTCTGGACTGCTCCCCATAATCAAGCACACTAATATTTCTGCAGTGTATTACATAAAAATTCACACTAAGTGGGATAAAGAATATAACACACTTTATATCATTTTCGGTCAGGTTTTCCTACCTTATGACTTTTGATGTCAAGCTTATGAAAGTATTGGATTATCAGGTTTTTTGGGATCTGGGAACTTAAGATAAAGCATTGTGGACTGCATACTTGGCCATTAATGTCAGAGTGACTCTCATATGTTCTTCCATGAGAAAGTTTTCATGGGTGATGATGGATTCATATGTTCTCTTTCCCAGGGAACACACAGTTTACTAAAAGTCACCAATGTCTTAACTCAAAGGAGCTTCAGTGGGAGCATTTCAGGCCTTGTAGCAGTGCAGGTCAGGGAGCTTCCTGGGAGGGGGGTAAGGGAACATCCCTTGCAACTTTTTCTGCTCCCACCCTAAACTTGGGGCTTAGGGATGAGGGCCTGTAAAGTGCACTGGGAAGCAGGGCTTAGTAGGCAGCAGACCCTTTTGGATGAAATGGGAAAAATGACTTCTCCAGTGCAGGAAGAGTCGATGGAAGTATTAAACAGGAATGTCATTTACCCAAAGGTAAGCAGAGAGGCAGTGATGAGAGAACTCTATTGTCTTGGGGGTTGAGAAGACTTTAACTGATGCATATAATTCAAAATCACCTCCCACACCGATTTGCATATTTCCCACAATTTCTATGTTAAATGTCCCTGTGGGAAGAGTTCACCTTTTAAAGCCTTATTCCAGCCATCCAGCCAGGGCTCAGTGGTACTCATAATATCCTGCAGGTGACACAGCTCTCAATGGCGTGAGCTGACTGTCCTGAGCAGGTGGAGTATGTGAGATGCTACTTGGTAGGATTGGTCGGATCCCAGAAGCCTCTCCAGTCTCCCAGCACGTATCCCCTCTAGCTGCTCTATAATGTCACACAAGCCTTTCCCCAGAGGGCCCCTGGTGAACATGGGGAGGAGCAATAAGCCATCAGCATCCAATAGCTGCTGAGATTAAGCTCCAGGCGGATGGTGGGGGACACAGGGAGAGGTCCCCAAGAGGTTTAGAGCAGGGGGCACTGCTCAAGAAGACAGATTTGAGCTGGCTCCTGTAGCTAAGGCAGGGAGCCTAAGGCTCCAGGCCTGTGGAGTCATGTTAGAAGTGGAGGCAGGGGAGTGCTCAGCAGCGGCCACCTGGATCATTTCTTTCACTGTGTTGGACCCAGGATCAGCTGCAGAGGCAAGGGAGTGGGGAGCAGGCCCCTGAGGGGCAGCCTAGATGACTCAAGAGGAATGCCCTCCAAGCTGAATTGCAAGGGCCATCTGTCCCAAGGCAGTGAGAGAGGGCAGCCCTTTTCCCAACTCTGTTCTTATTCCTCCCTCTTTTCCATGATGCTCCTCTTCTACCTCTAGAGTTTCTTTCCCTGAACAGTTGGGATTGGGCCCTGAGGAGCCCTAAACCTTCTTTATTCTTCTTAAAGGAGTGGTGAGGGAGCAGAAGTGAGCTGCGACCACAGGAGTGAAAACATGTGCTCAGCCCCAGGTTAGCCCTCTGAAGGGCAGTCTGTTTTGTGGAGAAGAGTTTTCTGGGGGTCCTAGACCACAGTTCTAGTTCTAGGTTTGCTTTTGAGGCCTTGGAGAGGTCATGTCCCTTTCCTTGGGCCTCTTCTGAAAAATGATCAGTAAGTACAGATGGTCACTCAAGCCAGTAATGTGGATTAGGCCTCTGCTTGATAGACTAGTTAATAGGAAGGCATATCTGGGCAGGTCCTGAAAACTGGTTAGTATGTGCTCAAATGGGGGGTTCTTTCTACTTGGTGATCTGTCCAATACACTGGTGGGGAGGGGTAGGGGAAGACATTAATAGTATTGTCCAGTGGTTAAGAATTTGGACTTTGCTGTCAGTCAGTCCCAGGCTAAAACTCTGATTCCAGAATTTATCAGCTGTGTTACTTTGGGCAAGTCACTTTTCTGGGCCTCAGTTTGTTGTCTTTAAAATGGGCTTTGGAACAACTGCCTGCATTATAGGGCTATAGATAAGAAGAGGGTGAATAAGAATGGGATTGAATGCCAACGTTTTCTTCCAGGCACACTTCAGAAAAGCACAAGCCTTAGCCACCCTAGGCAAGGTGGAGGAAGCACTAAGGGAATTTCTATATTGTGTGTCCCTGGATGGAAAGAACAAAAGAGCAAGATCTGAAGTCCAAAGGGTGAGTTGAGCTGACATCAGGTCCAGCTGCCCGATGGGCTCCCACCTCTCTGTCTTCTCCAGGGAAAGGAGTGAGGGAACTGCCCTCCCTGGCATTTAGAGTCCTGAGTGGGCAGCTCTCTGGGTGAAGGGGACAGGAAGGAGGCAAAAGTGCCAACTAATTGCCCCCAAACACAATCCTCTTGGCATGTACAATCAGACTGAGCAGTTCCTGCATTTCTGTAGGACTCTGTGAGGAATGTTCTTGCTCTTGGACTCAGGGTCTGGGTTGTCAGAGGGACAAAAACCAAAATAAAATAAAACCAAACAAGTTAACATGGGGATGGAGGCTCACTGGGGAGATTCTGGCTGTTGACGGGAGGTCAGCGGGGTGGGGCTGTCTGCAGTTGTAGAACTTTTCTTTGACTGCATCATGGCTTCACCAGCCACACTGGGAAGCCAGCTCCTCAGAAAGGATGCTGGTCTCCATCTCCCCTGCCATATGCAGAACTCCAGCCTTCAGCTCCTATGCTAGAAATAAAACATACACACTGTCTCACAAATGTAAGTCAGAGACCATCACAATATAATCCAAACAGTCATTCCAACTCTTGAGTCCCAGGAGAAAGTGGTTATTTTAAAAAGTTGCATGAAATACTGAGAGCATTAGCGAAGGCTCAAGCACCCTCACTTCACAGACTTCGTTGCTTACCCTCCTGCAGTGTACTCTCAGGGTGTCTGGCTAATTGGCCTAAAGTTGAATGCTAACAGTCAGTGGTGGCCTCTGCTATCCTTGTGCCCCACCCCCAAGTCACCAACACACCCCGGGTGCTTCTGTCCCAGTGTGATTCAGCAGAGAGGCAGATGAGAAAGGGAGCAGGATACAGGACTGGTTTCTGAAGGCTCCAGAAAGGAATCTTTAACAAAGTCACCGAACTAGGGGAAGGGGAACTCTGGAGGTTCTGCCTCTAACAGAAGATTTATTTTCTGGGAAGCTGCTTTGACCTAGTTTGGGAATGTGGACAAGGTGTTCTTGAGAGGAGCCCTCATGGCAGAGAATTGCTCTAAGCTCTGGACCCTTCCCCAAATCTTAAGTGTCCATGGTGTGAATAAGAATAATAGCTAACATTTATTGAGCATTTCCTACACACCAGGCAGGCTCTCTGTGGAAGATGTAATTTAATGCCCACACCATCCTTATGGAGGTAGGTACTGTTATTTATCTCCATGTTACAGATGAGATGGATGAGGAAGCTGAGGCTTGGTGACTGTCCCAAGGCTAGTGATTGGTGGAAGAACATTCAAACCCAACTCCTTCTGCCTCCCGAGTTTGCCTTCTTAGCTGCTCCACCATCCTGCTGTCCAGGGAGGACATGCTGGGAGTCTCAGCAATCACTATTTGGGGCTGGGTGGAGAGTAGCAATGGACTATCAAGTTCTGGGGTCAATGGATAAAGGGGGTTAGAAGAACCTTGACTTTGGGGACAGTGTGCAAAGGCCAAGAGGCAGGTGTTGGGTCTAGCAGTGAGTGGTTACTTTACTCCCATTTGCCCATTTCCCAGGTGGCCTGAGAGGCTCTGGTATCATCAGTTGGGTTGACCTCTCTTTCCAGCCACTTTTATAGACCATCTAGTGTCATTTCCTCAACTGCTTAATTGGAAGGGACAAGGCATTGTGCGAAGCTCTGGAGACCAAAAGAGGCGTAAGCCACAACCTCAGTCCTCAAGGACCTTACAATCATGAATGTGTTATACAATGCAGTATAAATGTCAGACAATACAAGCGAGCATATGCTTGTGATGAGTGTTCTGGAGTTCTGAAGCTGGGACAAGAATTTAGAGGTAAATTTCCACTGAGTGCGATGAGGGCATGGCAGCCACTTAAGGGTTCTCAGCAGTGCTTATTTACTGGATTGTTCCATTTTCAGGACTAAAGATTTGACAGAGATGGTCCAGGCTCACTTGGCATTAATTAGCTACCTTATACACCCACAGACCTCAGAATCTTTTTTTTTTACTTTTTTTGACCCATTTGGGCCTTTCTAAGGCTGGCATTGAATGAAATTGATTTTCCTTCATGTGAAGTGATTATTGTCACTGAGATTTGACCCCAGCTTCTATTTCCCAAAGCAATTGGGAAGGCCTAGAATGAGATCTTGTGCAGTAAAGGGAAGAAGCAGAGTGCTGCTTTTGTTCCTGCCTTGTTTCCTTCGATTCTTCCCTTCTGCCTCACTTTCCCTTCCACCACACTCTGCCCTTTTATCCTTGCACCTTAGGATGCTGTGTGCCTGCTGCTGAAGAGCATCGTGCTCTTTTTGGAAGAATTCCAGGGAGACTGCTTCTGAAGTGGGTTGGCCCGTTGGGCCACTCCAGAGGCCTTCTGAGGGCCAACTTTAGCTCCTGCGGAGGAAGGGCCTCTGAAAGCTGGCTTTTGTGGCCCTGGCCCCTGTGAGTGTCTCCCTGTCTCACTCCTTTACTAACTTAGACCTGGGAAGTGGGTTTCCCAGAGCTGGAAGGAAACATAAGGATCTGTCTGAGGACTTTGGGTCTGAATCCTAGGCCTCTCTGTGGGCCCTGGGATGGATAAGTGTTTTAATTCAATTCCATCCAGTGTGATGAGTATCTATTGGACTTCTGTCATGTGCCCTCCAGAAGCTGGCCATCTGGTTAGAGAGAAAGGCTTATATCTGTGACACAATTTGAGGCTAACACAAGACTGTGTGGTGTAAGGTGCTACATTATGGTACAGTGGAGAACATGGAAGGACAGGTGAGATCAGGGAGGGTAGAGTAGTAGGAGAAGGCAGCACTGGAGCTGAGCCTTGAAGGCTGAGCAAGGTTTGGCTATGTAGCAAGTGCTGACCTCTGAAGGAACGTCATGAAGGAACTGCTGAGGTCTAGCAAGGGAACAAATCAAACTGGAGAGAGTTCGGTCAGAGCTTCTGTCAGGTTCCCTTGATCAATTAATACCCTGACTATGTACCCTGAGCAAGGGAGTGGAGCGTCTCTTAGTGGGTCTCGAACACTACAGGGGCACTCGGTGATAAACACTTGAATATGTTTTAGAAGCCAAGTGACCCATCCTCTTGTGTCACATGTTACATACAAGATACACACACGTGTATTCATAATTCCTGCTGGCACAAAGGAGAATTGAAGCAAGAATGTGGGCAGCTAATGGTGCAGCCTGCCCTAGAACACACAACTTTGCCTCCCAGTTCCTTCTGGATTTTCTCACTCAACTGGCTTATCTAATTGCAAAGGAACCAGCCATACACTTGAACCTGCCTGCCCCAGTACTAGTACTTGAAGTTACCTGATGTTCTCTGGAAAGTGAAGGTCACATGGGGGAGGAGAAGCTGGGAAAAGAGGGAGGAAGGTTGGCTTCTGCCTTTCACAACACCTCACTGCAGCAGGGATTAAAGATCCAGGGATGAGGCATGGGGGAGGAGGTAGCAAAATGGGCAAGCGGAGGAAAGAGGTACCAAGGCACCTGGAAGACAGTTGTGGACTTCTACCCACTGCAGTGTGACGGACATGAGTCCAGGTCCCCAGCTGATGTTGGTCCTCTCCCTTCACCTCTCTGTCTCCTTCCTCCTAGATAGGTTTTCAAATCCTACTGCAGATATTTCTATGGAATCATAACACCAGATTGGAGTTCTTAACTTTGGCCAGGGTGACAAAGGCATCTGTGGTGGCTTTTCAAAATGCAGATTCTTGTGCCACACTTCAAACCTGGGCAGCCGGGTATGGGAACTCAGAATCTGGAACTTTCACAAGCTCCCACGTGATTCTGATGCATGCTGAAGTGAGGCCCCCTGCCCCAGTCTGTCAGGGTCTCTGGTCCAAGGCTTCCTCTCTGGAGCTTTGCCCCAAAAGCTCTGCCCCCTGACCCTTCCTACCCCTCTGCCTTTACCTGAGCACCTATAGTGTAGAAACTTAAGTAGTGAAGTCTTCTGTTTTATATCACAACTTCTCCTTAGTTTCTTTTCACCATCAGTCCCAGGGGATTCTCAGGAACATCCTCCCGATATCCTGAAGCTGTTGGCACCTCACCCTAGATTAAAGGAAAATGTAAAGTCAGTGGCTACTGAAGGCACCAGCCATAATCTACCAAAGTGGTCACAGGTAAAACTGAACTCACCCAGCTTGTTTGTGACTTCGTGACGCTTTGTTTGGCTGTTTTGTGGGCAAACCTGGGGAGTGACCCCTACCTCTCCTACTTCGGTTTCTGGAAAAGAAGAAATGGAGTTGCTAGTGGTTGTGTTCTTTGCTAGAAGGTTATTTCTTAAAGATAAAAATGGATTTCAGGCATGGTCTCATGGTTTATGATTCGTTACATTCATTTTTCAGTTCTTGGTCAGATCCAGCTGAGAGATTTGACAGCACTAGAAAGAAATTGGCCCACTTCCCCTGGAGCCATTCGATGGGGTGGCTTGATCAGCCTAGGATCCCGGGAAAAGGGCCCCACAGCTCCTACTTTCCTGCTTTTTGTTTGTTCGAGCTGCTGGTCTTTGAGCGCCAGCTGAGTTCCTTTAGTAAAGACAACTCCATTTGATCCCCAGTTGGAGGTAATTTCCTATTCTTGCACCATGTCTTACACATAAGTAGACTTCCAGTATGTATTTGAGGCTAGGAAAGGGGAAGCGATTTGGGAAGTGTTAAGTCCCTGGGGGGAAGACAAGCATTTGTGCTTTTCTTTGAAAATGAGGGAAGGGAATCTTGGAATCTTAGAATCTCAGAGAGATGGTCTCCAGGCCCTGGCTTCCCCAGCGAGGGAAAGTAGGCAGCAGCTGGGGCTCGGAAGTCCAGACTTGAAGGCAATTTAGTGTTGACTACCTCAGCCCCTTGCTTGGGGCAGCAGTCCCCCCTCCATGTGTGTACTATGTTCTACCCTGTCTATAAGCCCTGGGATCTCCAGGGCTTGCTGGGTTCTCTGACAAGTGAAAACCTACATTTTACCAGCTTTTACCCCTGTTCTGGAGAAGTAATAAAATGCAGGTGTGCCCAACTCAAAAAAAAGGGGGAAGTAGAACTCCGAGAGTCACCTGAAATCAGAGAACCCCTACTGCATTTCAATAATTGTTTGAGATTATGATGCCATGACTGAGAACACTTAACACTGAACCGAAGTGCCTGGAGTTACTTCTAATTGCAGCTCAATCAGAAATGCAGAAAAAGAACACCCCTGGCTTTCCATTGAGAGCCAGCTGGGGAACAAGAATGGGGTTTCCACCCACACTTTGCTTTGCAAAGCAGTGTACTCCTGTGTAGACAATGTTCATGGGAAGTTGAGGACGCAGCATCAGTATGGTGCTGAGAAAAGCCCTGAACTCCCCAAGTTACAGAATGAGAAAACCTACATCACTTTTCTCCTCACCTCATTGTTTTCTCCCAGCTGTATGCTCTCATTTTTCATCTATCTACCATTGTTGTTTTTTTTTTGGTAGGGGTTTGAGGGGCAATAAGAAAATGAGCATTTTAATCTGTAGACTATGAATTTAGAGAAGATAGGGGTTCCCCAAGTAAATCCACATAAATCCTTGTCATTGGATTTATTTCTAGATCCATTTTCAATTATCCCTCTCCTAGACAAAAATTCTTTAAAATGCTAGAGACATTATTGATTGTTTTGCCAAATGATTTTGTCTCTTTTTCAGACTTTCCCCCCACAATCTAGTAAAAGGATTAGCTTGTCCCTAGTTCATTTGACCAGTATGACATATAGCTCTAGAGCATGAGGTAACTGTAGGCCCATGGACACACCTGTATCAAAACCTTATTGAAAGTCCTTTTGGAGCTGGGCTATGAGGCTTGCAGATGGCCTGGAATGGCGGGGAGGGTGAGAGGAAGCATTGACAGGACCCACCCTCACTGCATACCTTGGCTTCCCTAACATGGTGACTGGGGAATGATCTGGGTAGAAGAGAGGACTGGTGCCACACCTTACATTTCTTCCCTTTACCATTGCCCAAGGAGTCTCTCCCTTATAAGCCTTTCTGGCCTTACCTAGGGAAGTCCCCCAACTCCGCCCAAGCTGGGCATGCCTTTGTTGCTGATGCTGTTTGGACAGAAGTAAGAAATATGCCTTATGACTGCCACCCAGTTAAGCTATGTGTCCACTAAGTGATCAGGGCTGTTCAACTCTCTCTCTGTCCCCTGTAGTAGATTCTGATATTTGGTTCTTTCTTTCTCTAGGAAAATTCGGAGCTTCCACATTGTTCTACACAGGAGGAAGCAGCAGTCAAGGGGGACTGCAGCAGCTTGATGAACCCAGCGCAAGTAAAGGGGGATGGGCAACAAGGAAACATGAAAGACCAGAAAGGAGAAGAGGAGAAGGGGGATGCTGCCTCTCCAGAAGCTGCCTCCATCAAGACTGGCAAATGCCAGGAAAAGAAAAGGAAACATTGTCAAGTTGAACCCCCAAACCCAGAGGTGCCTAATAAAACCTCTAAGCCAGGTACTGACTCTACCCAGGGAGAAAGGGGCTTGGAGGAGATGGCTGGGCTCCCCAATATATGCAACTTACTTGACCTCCATATGAGGGCTCCTCAGGCTCTCGGTGTGTGTCCCAGCTCTGGCACTTAGCTGTGCCACCTCAAGTGTTGCTACGAAGTTTCTGTGAAAGCATGCACAGTTCCCAGTGTACTGCCAGTACTCAGTAATAATTATAATGGAAAGCCAAGGCATAAGATCAAGAAACATCTCAAGTTATGACATCTGATGCCCTTGATGGTGTCACTTCCTGCCAGGCCAACTTCTCCCTACCCCCACCCTTATTCCAGGAATGGAGGACCAGGGCCACATGATCAGACCCCAGTTGTGTTCCTGTAGGTAAGCACCTGAGAAGCAGCAGCTGCAGCTCAATATCTTTCCAAGAGAGGTGGACAGTGCCAAAATGCAGTATCAGCTTTGAAGTCCTGGCACTGTCCATGGAGTTGCTGCTGCTGCTCCTGCTGCATGAAGTGCCTGTTGCATTTGAATGAAGTCCCCAGGGCTCCTGGACTTGCACTTATTTTTCTATGGGGCTTCTGGACACCTCAAGCGCTTACTTCAGGGTATCCCCTTGTCCGTGCATCAGGCAGCCACTAAATCAGCTCTCAGGGAGCGGGTGAGAGTGGTAAACTGAAAAAGTAATTACTTTCTTTTGTCTCAGAAATACTGTCTGTGAAACCAAGGTTGGTCCAGCTCTGACTTACTGCTTTCTAAATCACAGATCCTCCCACTGATCCGGGGGCCAAACCTGCTCTCAGTGTCCCCCTCGCCTCTTTTGACGCATCTGATCTTGAATGCTCCCTATGCATGAGGTATGTGATGTGTGCTGACACTTAGTACCTGAGGGGTCTTCCTCTCTGGTGTGTGAATCTTTCTGCCAGTGACCTAGTGCTCGATTGGTTAACACGTAAAACATGGTTCTAACAAAAGAGAAATCATGTTGATTGTCACATGGGGTAGCTTATGTCCCCTGTTTACAGATTGTGTTCCCTGTACTCCTGACTTGGAAATACCAAGAGAGTGGGAAGGAAAGGGTCTACTCAAAGGTCGCAAACTGATGGCCCACAGGCTGAATGTCTTATGTTTGGCCTCCATGAGATTTTGTTGTTGTTGTTGTTAAATGTGAATGTCTTGAGACAGGACACACCCTCTCCAGCTGGTCATCGTCCCTGCCCCCATCCCATTGCCTTACACTAGCCTGGGTCTCACATTTGCGTTATTTTCCTGACCCTTGTAGGTAATATGGATTTATGACCCTGAAAGTAATGTCAACTACTAGATCAAGATCAACTACTGACTCAAGGGCTAATATCAATGCCACAGGCCTATTCTTTGGAAGTCTGAGGGCCTGACTAGTTTTTGTTTTGTGCCATGAACAGGATTAGTATTGGGCCTGTACTACTTGGCCAAACATCTCTCCTTCAACCAGTGCCACATCTTTACTTTCTCAAAACTCTGGAGGAGCAAATTATTCACACACCTGCTCACCCCCCACAAAAATAATAAATGGGAGCAACTATAATCATGGTCTGTGTAAAAAAAAATTACTTTCATTTGTTTCATTTCACAGCTGTGACTTTGTGACTCAGAGAAAGAGCTCCAAATGGCCCAGGTTTGAACCCTGACTCTGCCACTTACTGGCTGTTTGACCTGGAGCAAGTGACTTTCTCTGTCATTGTTTTCTCATCAGTAAAATAGAGAACAGTAGTCTCTACCTTATGGGGTAGTTACAATTAATTGAGAAAATCTACTTAATTCTTCGAATTGTGCCTGACATATAGTAAGCACTCAATAAATATTAACTATTTTTTTCTTCTAGACCAGAGGTTCTTTAACTTTAGGTTCATGGACCCCTGAGGAGGTTCCATGTGTAGATTCTAATAGATCTATGAATTCTGACGTTGTGTATAAAACTCTGTGTGTGTGTGTGTGTGTGTGTGTGTGTATGTGTGTGTGTATTTCCAGGACAAGGTCCACAGCTTTCAGTAGATTCTCAAATGTGTCCTTTCCCCCAAAAAAAAACGTATTAAAAGGAGATATTTTCACAAAAGTTGTTAAGATGGTTGACTCAAGATAATCAAGAAAAATCTTTTGGTCCACCACACACTGGGATCCAGCCAGCAGAGGATCCTCAGATATTTTTTTGCCCTTTACAAGCACATGTGCTTTACATATCAGTCACATGAATTTGTATTCAGGATGACTTTTTTTGTCATCTGAATAAAAATGAGCAAGACAGCCATTTCCTGAACATGTACTTTTTTTCTTTCTCTTAAAAAAAAATAGAGTTGTCAGATTTGCTCATAAGCTCAGCAGGCCTGATAACAAACAATTTCACACATGGAATATAGAAGCACTCAAGGAAAGCTTTCCATATACTATATGGAGTTCACTCCTTTTTCCACCTCCCACTCCTCCAGAACAAATGGGTCATGCAAGAGCCAAGGTATGGGATAGAGAAACTCTGCTTCCCAGCAGAGCAATGGACCTCCACAGGTAATGCCATGGTGGCTCTAAGCCTGTGACGCAAGCTGTGGTCTTTCAGGTGTCAGACTTTGAGAGGCTTGATTCAGCTTGCTCAGAAAACCCAGCTCTTTGGTGTACTTATCACTCCCCTCGACATCCAGGGGACACAAAATCAAACACACAGACTCATCCTGTCTGTGTTTTCCCTGAAAACCAAGAATCCTTAGATTGAAGTTCTTTTGTTCTCTTTCCTCTCCTTTCTCCCTTTCATCTTGTTTGTCCCTGATCTCAACAGGGGGCTTCAGAGAAGAGCTAGAAATTTTGTCCAAGAAGTAAACGCCAAGAGGATAAGACCCCTTTTGCTTTGCTCGCTCTGACTTTAAAGCCATTCTTTCCCTTATCCTGCCCCTCTGCTCTAAGTGAGACTTCAAAACAAAAAGCCATCTTTGCCTGAAGTAGCGGTTGTATAGGCTGGGAGGTTATAGGGGAACTAGCTGTTTTATGGCAAAAATAAACTTGCAAAGTACAGAGAACATTACTGATATCAAGGCTTTTTTATTATTCAATTTATTGGGGTGACAATGGTTAGTAAAATTATATAGGTTTCAAGTGTACATTTCTGTAATACAGCATCTATTTATCACATTGTGTGCTCATCACCCAGAGTCAGTTCTCAAGGCTCTTAAAACTGTAGCTCCTGGTCAGAATGAAATTCCCCTTCCAACCAACAAGGTTTGTCTCCAAGTCAGAAATAAGATGTTGACTGGAGCTGTTTCATATACATGCTTTAGCTTGAGTTATTGCAGTCTTGAAAAGTTTGTGTTTTCACTGCTCTTTAGTGTTTTTCTTCTTTTTTTGTTGTTGTTAGGATTATTATTAGGTTCTATTATGACCCTCATGTGTCTTTGGGGGAGAGGGTCGAAGGGTAGACATAGTTTTAAACAATATGCCAGGTTATAAACTATACATACACAGGTTGTACTTCCTGTGTAAGTTTCTAGAATGAACTCCAGTCCTGTGGTGCTGCACTGGTAGGAAACAAGTTAGAGTGTGCATTTATCTATTCTGATTCTAGGGAGAAAATCTGGAGTAGCTTATAAATTCCACAGGGAAAGGGTGGAAAGAGTGAATGGAACAATAATTGGCAGGTGCATTCATGAGGAACTTTCCAGTCTCCAAGTCTCCCTTGCTGGATTCGGAGAGATCTGCTGAGGGATGTTTCTTCTAAATCCAACACCTAAGAGCTCTGCCCCCTCAGTCTTTAGTGACTGGAAATCCTCCTTTGAGATACCTGATATGGATACCCTAGCCATTGGGGGCCATTTCTGGGACTTCTGTGGAGCAGCACCGTTAGGGTGATAAGGATATTTTGAGATGTGGATCAAGAATGTTTGATATTTGAACCAGTTACCTAATGGCCCAGTGACCTCTTTGTCAATTGAAATAAAAAGCTTTATATTTAACCTAGTTTTAGCTACTCAGCTACCTGGGTGTTAGGGAGTCAGTTCATTCTATTCTATTCTATTCTATTCTATTCTATTCTATTCTATTCTATTCTATTCTATTCTATTCTTTCCCTCTCTCTATCTGCCCCCTACCTCTCCCCGCCTCCTTCTTGCTCTCTCTTTGCTCGCATTTGATAGCAGCAAAAGAACACAATACAAGGATGTAGCTGTTGGGAAAAGATAGCTATTTTCAGATAAGCCAAACATTGTACCCAGGCTGACATTTAACTGAAAACATTTATGATTACTATTGTTTCATTCCTCACTGTGACAAGGTAAAATGCTTTCTTGTGAAAAAATCCGGCCCTATTCTTGATTTATAAATGCCTCCCTGAAGTGTTTTCTGAAATTATGACCTAAAGTGGTAAATAAAATGGAGAAGAATTCGAGTATATATCTATTTCTATCTTTATATAGAGTTCTTTCTCTCTTTCTCTCTGTCTCTCTGTGTGTATGTGTGTCTCTCTCTCTTTCTCAGAGAGGGGAAGGAGGGAGACAGAGAGGGAGGGGAAAAGGGTGTGTGTGAGTGTGTGTTTCCACATGTGGGTGGATGACGTCTGTTCTTGATATAGCTGTACACGTCGTTTGTGGCCATGTCATATAGTGAAGGAAAATGGGCTTGGGGATCAGATGTGACTTCACATCCAAGCGCTGCTCTTTAGTAGCTAGCTGTGTG